GTAGGGAAAAAGGCAGAGGTATTGCTCTCTATGTGAAGGAGCAGTACACATCCCTGGAAGCCGAGATGGGCACAAAAGAAGGGTTACTTGAGACCCTCTGGTTAAGATACAGGGAGGGCATGGTGAAGGGGACTTGATGGTAGGAAACTGTATATTACAGACCTCCAAACCAATTGGAGGAGCTTGATCTGGAATTCTCCAGAGAACTGGCAGAGGCTGTACACTCATGGAGTATGGTCACCATGTGTGACTTCAGTTACCCAGACATCTCATGGGAAGAGCACTCAGCTAGATCTGAGTGGTCACATAGGTTCCTCACTTGTATCAAGGAGCTCTACTTGACTTAAGAAGTGTACAGGCCAGCCAGGGGAAAGGCACTCCTGGATTTGGTTTTGGCCAAAGGGGATGATCTAGTGAGTAACCTGAGCATCAAGGGTAATCTAGGCAACAGTGACCATGAGACGATCCATTGTAAGGCTTTCACCATCCATTGTAAGGCAGGGAAATCATTTAGTAGGGTGGAAATCCTTGATTTTAGGAAAGCTTACTTTTACAAGGTTAGGAGATTGGTGGATGAGGCCCTGCAGAACCATGGTCCGATGGGGAAGGGAATCCAAGAAGAATGGTCATTGCTCAAGGATACCATCCTTGGAGCAGAAAGGAGGTCCATTCCTGTTCATAATAAAGGTAGCAAAAGGGCTGAGAGACGCCCCCTGGCTCAATCAGGAGGTCATGGGCCTCCCGAAAACAAAAAGAGAACCCTATAAGAGATGGATGCTGGAGGAGGAGTACACAGGAATGGCCTATATTCGGAAGAATGAAGCAGCAAAGATTCAAAAAATCATTGAATTGGGGTTGGAAGGAATTAGTTGTAGTCCCTGAGGCTCTATTAGTTCTAGTTCCATCTGCTTGTGTTGCCAAAATGAGAAGTCATTCTCACTAGGATATACAGAAGTTTCAGTGTTGTTGCTATTTATTTGTTTATCACTAATCATGAGAGAGGTAAGCAAAGACATCTATGTGTTTGTGAAAAAGAGATGTTACACCTATACCAGTAAAAAATTCTTATCATTTAAAAATATTTTTCTTTCATTCATTCATAGGGATTTCAGAACTTCCTTGGAAGCTCTCGTTGAAAGCAAAATTCCTTACATAGTTTTAAAAAACAAAATTGTACCAAGTGATCCATCTATTTTTATCTTGTATGATCTCCCTCCCCGTGTCACCATCTATTAAATTACTTAGAGGCATCAAGCTCATCTTGACCTACATCTGGATCCGGTGGTAATAAGGCAAACAGCAGAAGTGGCAGTGATGGGGCAAGTGGTGCTGGGGTAAGCAGCAGAGGCATCAGGCTGAATGGTGACAGGACAAGCAGTGCTGTATCGGTGCAGCCCTTGCTAGCCCCCTATCACCAACAACGTTGCACCCTCTAGGTCACTCTGCCTCCGAATTCCCTGGCCCACCAGGAGCCCCAGGGGCTGGGGGACTGGTTCCATGGTCCAAATCCATCCCATAGGCCACATGTTTGAGGCCCCTGACTTAGATGGGTAAGATTACATTTTAAATAACATGATGTTTAGTGGCTGATAATTTATGTATGCAGTTTTATGTGTAGAGTTGTATTTATGTGCACAAATGAATGAGATCCATATAATGTGTTTCCCAATGTGATTTCCAGGTCCTAGGATGGTAGAATTCCATGGTCAACAACTTCAGATCAACTCCAAGGATGGCAAGCCACTTTTTACAGTGGATGAAGATGAAGTTGTAATCGGTACAGATAAACTTCGAGTCACAGGTTTGTAATATGTTAAAAAATGTCCTAAGAAATGTAAGTAGGAAAGCCTCACACAATTCAGCTAGAATTTTATTTACACTATATCAGTGTATGTAAATAGAAGTTCTTAAGTTCACTGCTATAGTTGGCAACATTTGTAATTGTGAAGTTTTTATCATTTATCTCATATGTACTTATACATGGTGAACTAAGATTAAAAGAATATTGCATGTTATTGCCTCTAAGTAAAACTTCTAGAAGTCATGCTGTACAGCATTGATGTGTACACCTTTTCAAAGTGAAAATCTGCTGTTTTTCTACTTTGCCTTTGGCACTTGGACCATAGCATATAATTATTTGTAGTTAATTTATAATATCACTTTTCAAAAGGCATTTTTCTCAGATTTTATCAGATTGTATTTCAGTTCCAATCTTCAGAACAGTAATTAATGTTTTCTCAGAGGCATGTATCACTATTTCATTGCAAACAAGTACTCATATGATTTGTAGGAACAAGATAATTCGATTTTCTAGGTTAACAGTTATCTTAAAACATATATGATAAGCTTCAGTTACTCTGGTATTAAAATGTAAGAATACATCAAAAGAAATAGTGAAATTGCAATAGAATTTATTTTCACTTTTAGTTCCTTTTTTGAAGCTAATTATAATTGTCATATATAACTTGTGTGATTTATTAGATTTATTAGCTCTAAAACATTGATGACTTCATTTTAAAAGAGGAATTCAAATTATTTCACTGTGCAAACTTATAACAGTGGTTGTAAGTATACAACTAGCACCTCAAAGCCAAATTTAATTTGAAATAAATATGTTAATAAATTACGTTTAAAACCCTGTGAGTTTTATTGTGAAGTTTACAACCAGGAAACCTCATCAAATTATTATTGTATGCCCAAAGGACACCAAACATTAATAGAAAGGCATATTTAGCTAAGATATGAAAGATTACATAATCACTAACTGATTTGGAAGAGGTCTGCCTATGTTTTAGGTAAGAAAAACTAAGACAGAATACACGCTTCAACACAGATATGTGTGTGTGTGTGTGTGTGTGTGTGTGTGTGTGTGTATTCTCCTTCTAGTTCTCTCAGTTTGTGAAGGAAATTACAATATTTACTCTGAGGCTAGAGTATACATTTTCCCCGAAAATCAGTCCGTATACATTTCTCCCTATACGTTTTTCCCCCCAAATTGGGTTGCATGTCTTAAGCAAGGAAGCTATTTTTCATGTACTAGAAAAGAAGAAAGCTATTAGATGCTGTACATACAATTAAGAAGCCAAGATGGCTCCTGCCTGTGTCTAGTTTAGCAAGCAAAAGTACTAGAGTCTTGTGTTTACCCTCTCACAACTACAGCTATTGGCTGAGCACTATAGCTTATGCTTGAAGCAGCAAGCATGGTTCTGGTAGTATTTTGATGAGGCTTGTGGTATGAAAACACTTGATTTATAGGAATTTATATAAAGAACTGCTTACAAAAGAAGTAACAGTCTTGCTACTGCCCTTGCAAGGGTCTGGAGCTGAACCTTCTGTGACACAGAGGAAGTCTTCCTAGGGACATAGAACATCCAGGAAGCGTGCCATCCCAGGGGATCGTCTGGGCGAGGCATCAGAAACTTTACCAGGAAGTTCACCCGGACTCTCTCTGGGTGAACTTCACCAAGACTGTTTCTGCCTTTCTTGAATACTGTGTGCTTGCAAGAGGACTTACTCTGTGTCACATAATTGGCCATGATTCTAGAATTTTTTTCAAATACTTCCAAAACCAAGATGCATGTTTTATTTGGAGGTATGTGGTATGCGAGAAAATATGGTATGTAGTTTAGAGGGTGTGGTATAGACATAGAAGGCCTGATTTAGCATTTAAATAATGCAACTCCATTAAAATCAAATGAGTCATTCCACCATAAAATTAGTGAAAGGAGACTTGCACTCACCATGAAAATGTAATATAATTGACTTTAAGCTTTTAATTTAAATTTTGCTAAAATACAGAAGTTAGGAAAGAGGCATGAAATATATAATAGCTAGGACACTGATGAAAAGCAGGGCTGTTCAACTTTGTGATGGCCACATACTAGGGGACTGCACACCATGCAGGCAACAATGCTCTCCTCCCCACTGCCCACCACACACAGCACAGGCAGCTCGGTTCCCCACCTGCCACATGTGCAGTCTCACCCCATTCCTGGCCAAGTGTGTCACATGGGCAGCTCCCCTCTCTGTTGCCTGGGCAGCATGGGCAACCCTGCTCCCTTTCGCACACATGCAGCACAGGCATGCTGGCTTTCCTGCTTTGAACTTCAGGTGGGTAGCTCCTTCCTCTGCCACCACGCACATCACAGGCAGGTCATCTCCCTTCTACTGTGCATGCAGCTTAAGTAGCCCAAACCAATTCCCTGCTCTGTGTGCAGCATAGAGACTGACCCCTTCCCTCTGCATTGCCCTGCCCCCAGGAATGGGGCAGGGAGTTATGGAGTGTGGAATAAGAGGGACATGAAGGAGTTTCATGCTTAAAAATACACTAAAGAATATTTCGTAATACTTTATATACAATATAGTGGACTGTCAGAGCTGATTTACGTAAAAATTACTGCTCATTAACAACTTATTAGAAAAGTTCATAGATGTGCAAATAAAAAGCAGTGTGGTGGAAAAGAAATCCATTTGTGAATTTTAGTAAATATCTATTTTATAAATCTAGCCAAAGAATTAACTGAATAAACTTGGCTTTGGAATCCCCTTTTCTCATCAAGCTTGGGACTTTGTTGTTTGACCTAGTATTGCTGTGGTTACTGTGCCAGAAACACTTGTGGTTATCATAATATAAAGGTAAGGCCCACCCCAAGTTTTGCTCTGCAGAGGGGAGCCTGCCCTCAAAGAAAATCATGCTGAGCTTCTGTCAAGTAGGATGCCTGCTTCTACAAAAAGAGTCTACTCTCTTCAAAAGCCCATCAGTTAAAGCTGATTGAGTTATTAGTGATCCCAAGCATCCCGGACTCTCTCTGGGTGAACTTCACCAAGACTGTTTCTGCCTTTCTTGAATACTGTGTGCTTGCAAGAGGACTTACTCTGTGTCACATAATTGGCCATGATTCTAGAATTTTTTTCAAATACTTCCAAAACCAAGATGCATGTTTTATTTGGAGGTATGTGGTATGCGAGAAAATATGGTATGTAGTTTAGAGGGTGTGGTATAGACATAGAAGGCCTGATTTAGCATTTAAATAATGCAACTCCATTAAAATCAAATGAGTCATTCCACCATAAAATTAGTGAAAGGAGACTTGCACTCACCATGAAAATGTAATATAATTGACTTTAAGCTTTTAATTTAAATTTTGCTAAAATACAGAAGTTAGGAAAGAGGCATGAAATATATAATAGCTAGGACACTGATGAAAAGCAGGGCTGTTCAACTTTGTGATGGCCACATACTAGGGGACTGCACACCATGCAGGCAACAATGCTCTCCTCCCCACTGCCCACCACACACAGCACAGGCAGCTCGGTTCCCCACCTGCCACATGTGCAGTCTCACCCCATTCCTGGCCAAGTGTGTCACATGGGCAGCTCCCCTCTCTGTTGCCTGGGCAGCATGGGCAACCCTGCTCCCTTTCGCACACATGCAGCACAGGCATGCTGGCTTTCCTGCTTTGAACTTCAGGTGGGTAGCTCCTTCCTCTGCCACCACGCACATCACAGGCAGGTCATCTCCCTTCTACTGTGCATGCAGCTTAAGTAGCCCAAACCAATTCCCTGCTCTGTGTGCAGCATAGAGACTGACCCCTTCCCTCTGCATTGCCCTGCCCCCAGGAATGGGGCAGGGAGTTATGGAGTGTGGAATAAGAGGGACATGAAGGAGTTTCATGCTTAAAAATACACTAAAGAATATTTCGTAATACTTTATATACAATATAGTGGACTGTCAGAGCTGATTTACGTAAAAATTACTGCTCATTAACAACTTATTAGAAAAGTTCATAGATGTGCAAATAAAAAGCAGTGTGGTGGAAAAGAAATCCATTTGTGAATTTTAGTAAATATCTATTTTATAAATCTAGCCAAAGAATTAACTGAATAAACTTGGCTTTGGAATCCCCTTTTCTCATCAAGCTTGGGACTTTGTTGTTTGACCTAGTATTGCTGTGGTTACTGTGCCAGAAACACTTGTGGTTATCATAATATAAAGGTAAGGCCCACCCCAAGTTTTGCTCTGCAGAGGGGAGCCTGCCCTCAAAGAAAATCATGCTGAGCTTCTGTCAAGTAGGATGCCTGCTTCTACAAAAAGAGTCTACTCTCTTCAAAAGCCCATCAGTTAAAGCTGATTGAGTTATTAGTGATCCCAAGCATATGCACATTGGGCCTAATTCACTGTTGTGAAGCATGTTGTACTGTCAGAACCAATTGTGTCAAATTAGTTACCTAACCAGGATTTAGGAGGACTTAGATGTCTAAACTGAAAACAGCTATTCAGAATATTCCTATCCCAACAGGCACAAAATTCCTTCAATGCCTAAATTTTGAACTGCAAAGATCAGTAGGCACCTAAAATTAGGCTTGATGTAAAAATTTCTCATGATGCAGTATTTACTACAGCCTTTGGCAAATTGTTTCAATGGCTAATTATCCCCATTGTTTAAAAAATGAGCTTTTATTTTGCGACTGAATTTGCCTATCTTTAGCCTCCTGCCATTGGTTTTCAGCCATTAGATTTTGATGGATATTTGTCTTCTAGATTGAAGAGCTCTCTATTACCGATTTTTTGTTTTTCCTGGATATTGTTATAGAACTATGATCAAGTGACCCATTAACCTTTTCTTTCATAAGCTAAACTGGTTGAACTCCTTGAGTTTTTGACTATGAGGCATATTTTTAATTCATTCCAATGGTTTGTCTCTAAACCTTCGCAATTTCACCAGCGTCTTTTATGAATTGTCAATACCAAACCGAACACAGTATTCCAACAGCAGTCCACTGCCAAAGGCAGAATTGATA